TTGTTATGTTGCTCTACGAGTGGACATTTTTTCTCACAAGCCTTCATTTTTCAAAAAGTAAAAACTAACCCCTTATCTTGTAGTTTAATGACATTGATCCTAAATAAGTGGAATCATTTTTATAAATTACAATTTTAAGTCCCATGGATTCATTTTCTCCATTTACGATTATGTACAATTCACTTTCGCTCGAAAGTAAAAGCTGGCAATCGACTAACCAATGCTGGCAATCGACTAACCAATGCTAATCTTTAAGTCTTGAATTTGAGTAGCTATTCAAAATCAACAACAACAGAAACGAGTATAAACAGAAAACAAAATTAAAAAAATCGTACTAATCCGGCGCTGCAGAGGCAGGTTGGCCCCTCAGCGTCTTTGGCAATTGGCGTGGTAGTAGATTTTGTAGATATATTTGTATGGATATGGTTATGCCACAATTAATTTTCTTAGAGTTACTAAAGTTATTAAAATTTTACTTTAATTTAATTGTTGAAAATAATTAATAATTAATTTTTAATAATTAATAATTAATAAAATATATAATATTTATTGCTTAATAAATTAAAATTAATTTATAAATAAATAATTTTCAATATTATAACTAATTATTTATAAAAAAATATAAATTAATAAAATTATAAATAAAATTAGTGACTTAACAAATACATTGATGGCCGTAACCTCAGCTTATTTGTATAGATTTTTTTTTTCAGAAGTGCTAAATAATGAATTGATTTAAAATAATCATAAAAAAGTTTAAAAATGGATAAAAATTATTAAATTTATTTTATACATAATGGTAAAGGTCTACTACTAAAAACAAAGAAAAGAAAATGTTCAAATAATGATAAGAATTTTATTTATTTTTATTTAAGAATTTGAATTTTGTCATATTTCAATTAAAATTGTTATTTGTCTTATTGCCATCACCGTTCAATAAATTTTTAAATACAAAAAAATCCAAATTTTGTACTCTTAATTGAAAAAAAGTTTTGAAAAGTTTGTTTCTTTAAATAAAAAAATGACAAAATTCATATTCTTATTTGCATTTTTCTGACTAAAAACATGTAGGGGTTATAGTTTTTATCATATATTTGAGTTGAGAAGAATAAAGGAGAGGGGATGGAAGGGGACAAGAGGGGAGGGTAATTTTCTCCACCCTCTTTTTATTTGAATAAATAAATAAATTAAAATACAAAATAAAGGAAATAACTCTTTTCCCCTCCACTCCTCTCTAATATTTTTATAATCAAATAAAGGAAATTTTCACTTCTTCTTCTCTTCATTCCTCCAACTTAAACATATTGTTAATCCTTTAAAAACCAAATTAAAATTTAAAAAACTCAAAAAAACTTCATCTAAAGCACCTAAAGATTTTTTTCATGATATGGGTCAAATAAGAAATTAAGGGCTGTTTGGTGCAACTTGTGAGAAGGGTTTTTTAACTTTAAAAGCATAAGCTACACCAAACACCATGGCTTGTGAAAATTTCTGCAGCTTTTCAGAAGTTGATCTTCTCCCCATTCCTTTGCAAATCTCAGAAGCATCAATTTGATGCTTCTACGGGAGCTTCTCGTTTATGATTTAATGACATTAACATGGTATTTCCATTTTATCCTCACACGTCCTTTTATTTACGAAAAAACAGTATATATAGGGTTCCATTTATAACCCATTTCTTTCTTCTTTCTCAAGCAACCGAATCCTGCGTTTCTTCTCCCTACCTTCTTGCCCATCTTCTTCCAAAGCAAATTGGAAAATCCCCACCGTTAGTCACCAACCTTCTTTCTCTTTAACACTTTGTTTGGATTGAGGAAGTTAGAAGAGAAGGAGTGGAGAGTGGAGAAAGAGCACCTTCTCTTATTTGGGTAAATCATTTTAATGAAAGGGGAGGGAGATGGAGCCGCTTCCCCTCTTTTGTTTTCAATCCCTCCGATTTGAAAGGATTGTGATGGATTACATTATTTAACTTATTTTAATTTTAATTTTTTTAAAAATAAATATATATAAACATTTTATTTCAAATATTTATTTAATTAATAAATTTTAAAAATTTTATATTTTTCTTTATTTTATTTTTTATTAAATTATTTAATTAAATAAAAATACTATCTTTTCCTCTCCTTCACTTTTTTCTATCCAAACAAAACTAATATCAATATTTTCCTTCCCTTCCCTTCCCTTCCCCTCCCCTCCCCTCCCCTTCCTTTCCTTTACTAATTTTTATCCATACAGAGGCTAACTGCTTCAAAGCAGAAAAGCACAATTCAACCAACAAAAAGGCCAAAATCCCATTTCTCCTTCTTCCTCTTTTGTGTGTCTCCTTCCTTTTCTTTGAATTTCTTTCCTTTTTTAGTGTTCCTGCTACTAATTTGGTGGTGATGAATGATGATTGTTGGTTGGTAGTGTGAGTTGATGAGAGAGTTAACCGAAAATCTCTTCTCATTCTCCGTCTTCTTCCAGATCTGGGCCATGCGACGACCGTCAATGACCACCAACGACTGCCCAAACCATTGCGATAATCCTCATCTTCTCCTTGAAAATCCCTAATTGCTGTTACTTATCGTGAGACTGCGATGAGCTTGAAGATCTGTTACTTACCGTGAAACCGTGGACCCATTGCTACCGGATCTACAAAACCACTACTAGTAAGCTTCCATTGCTCCCCTTTCTTTTCTTTTTGATTGAAGATTGTTTGAAGATTTTTTATTGATTATTACTATTTCTTCTACTTCCTCATGTCAGAAGAATTTGTGTCCTGTACTTTGCCATTGTTTTCGCATTTTTCTTCTGTTTTTTGGCATTTTTCTTCTCTTTTTAACTTGTTGTTCCTATTTTTGGATAATAAGCTTTATGGGTTTGTGGCAAAGAATTGGTAAATCGTGATGCTTGTGTGATCTACCTCTTGTTTGTAGTACCTATTTCTACCCTATTGAAATTATTTTTGTTGTGAAGAAACTTAAGGAGAGGTGGAAAAGAGTAGAATAGACTACTATTTTTTGGTCTTTGCTGAATCAGTTAAATCAATTTTGGTGCTATTGGATTATTATCTTCTTCTTCTTTTCTTTTTTTAAGTAATTTAATTCATATTAATCAGAGGAAAATCTGAACTTTATTTCTTACACTCTCCCTAATTTCACTTAGAAAATGTAGTGTGGTTGCTTGTTATGGTGTTTGGCATAAGACGTTTGTAGTGCCTAATTATGTCAATTGTAGTAGTGCTCTGTTTTTTGATATTTATGTTCTAGAATCCTCTTAAGTTGTATTTGAACTTAGTAATTAGCATGAATTTGAAGGCTGTTATTTAGATAATTCTTTCTGTTGTGGTATTCTATTTTTTTGTTGTAGTTTTTGCTTATTCTCTTAGTATTTATATTTGAGTAGTTACTGAATTTTTAAGAAGCATAATGTATTTGAGATATTATTAGTTTCTAGTGTTATTATGTGTATCCATACTTTCATTATTCAACATTTGTGTTTATGTGTTTGTAGATCTTGTTTTAAAGCCAAAATTATTTCAATATATAAGATGGCTGAAAAAAAGTCAAAGGCACAGTGGGATTCAATGGCAACAAAAATTTTCTGCGAGATATGTGTGGAAGGTCAATGTTGGTAATCGTCCCAATAATACTGTTAATAAATTAGGGTGGCGGAATGTGGAAAAACAATTTAATGAAAGAACAAACAAGAAATATGTTTATAAACAACTAAGAAATCCGTGGGATGCATTAAAAAGTGATTAGATTTTGTGGAATCAACTCTTAAGGTGACAAACAGGATTAGGGTGGAATCATGAAAAAGGCACAATTGATGCTATTCCTCAACAATGGGCTGAATTGAAAGCAGTTAGTTCTATTCCTTTATTGTTAATGATTTTGAGTTTTTGCATGTTATTTTGTTAATTTTAACTTTAAACTTCTAATATGTTATATTTATTATAAGAGAACAAGTAATATGGTAAATTTGAGCATCATGAATTAGAAAACACAATGGAGTTGGAGAAAATGTTTGTCAAAATAGTGATCATCGGTAAAACTGCATGAACTCCAACTGTTGGAGAAGAAAGCATGGATCAAGGAATTTCTCAAAATAATTTTGTTAGTACAACAGAAGATTGTGACATGATTTCACGTTGAGATTCCATAGCTCTATCATTAATGAAAAATCAATCAAGATGATTATTTAGCGTAAGTTTTAATTTTAATTGTCTTATTTATGTGACTTAAATGTAGTAAATTTTATTTTTTAGGTTAAATACCTTTCTTGGTCCCTCTACTATAGGAAAAAGCCCATTTTTAGTCCTTATATTGAAAAAATCCCCTTTTTGGTCTTTAAATTTCGAAATCTAATCCTTTTTTAGTTCCTCTGTTAAATTTTGGCTGATGTGGCAGGTTAATTAATAGAAAAACTTATTTTTTTTCTTTACTTAAATTGTATGGAAAATCCATTTAGCAAAAATTGATAACATAGCCAAATTTTTAATCTAATATAACCTTAAAAATCATTTAATTACATAATTACCATTACAAATATTTTAAAGGTTATTTTGTGATTAAAGGTACTTTACTTTAATTACTTATTTACCCCCATCTTCTTTCGCCTCCTATCTTGTCTTCTCCTTCCTCCGGCCATTTTTTTTTTTTTTTTACCTTTGCCAAACCAAATCTAGAAAGACAAAACCAAGAGTCTTCACGCTAGGTTCGTCACAAATCCAAGCGCTACGTTCATCACAAATCCAAGCGCTACGTTCGTCACACCTTGCTCCAGTCATCCATTTATTATTAACATATGAGTATTTAGAGTTTATAAAATGGAATTGTCCCTGCTGATTTAGAGTTTTGGTTGGGTTCCACTACTAGAAAACACAGTATATTCGACAGTCAATACTGTCGATAATAACAATTATTCTGTCGGTTATAGTATAACCGACAGACATAAACGACAATAATTTCTGTCGAAAAAATGAGAGTCGGAAATTCATATAATCGACAGAAATTATATCTGTCGGTTATGATATATAACCGACAGGCATGACTGTCGATTACATGTATAATCAACGGTAAAATTGCTGTCGATTATGTTTGATAAAATAAGCTAAACATATTCGACAGCCATCTGATTGTCGAATATAAGTATATTCGTCAGTATATTACTGACGAATATACTTATATTCGGCAGTTAACTGGCTGTCGATTATGTCTCAAAAAAAATCTAACATTTTCGACAGCCAAATTGGCTGCCGAAAATATTTGGGTCATAGAAAAAAAAAAATTCTGAAATTTAGCATGATTATTCAACGAAAAATCATTACAAATTAACATAACCAAATTCCATGCTTAAAACCATATCCCACAACATTTGTACCATTTAAATAATAAATTTAAGAGG